TTCGGTGATCAACTGATTTTAGCAGTCTGGAGCTAGGGTTTATATACTCCAAAAACTGCTGGTTCCAAGTTGGCCAAGAGTTTAAACATATGCAGGTCATTGCCTCTTTCGAAACAGTGTGTAGAAAGTACTGGACAGGACATGCATCAAGGTTTTTTATGGGAAGAGGGAGTGGAGAACGCGTCTTGAATATTAAGTATTCTGAGACACTGTTGCAGGTGTAAAAGGTCAGCAGAGATTTACGGCTGGTGAGAAACATTGTAACGCATGAGAAGGGAGCACCACAAAAGGTGCTGGTGAGAAAATCTCACCTCAATCGGAAATATAGGAATGTCTCGCGGAAGCGTGAATTCCTCGGAGTACGAAAAATGGTACTTCATAACAAGCTTTTAAATAATCGGTCTCGAAAATTGTTCACAATGTCCCAGTTCTGCGCGGGATTACATACTACACATTGCTACATTGGCAAAAATTTGACAAATTTAATAATTTTCATCTGGATGTTTCAGGAATCTAGTATTTTTCAGATTTTGTAAACAAGTTCCAAGTTTCGTTTGAAAAATTGAATTTGTTTTCACATATACAACGAATTCTTCAACGGTTCTCAGGGAACTGGAAATTTGTTAAAAAATCCGACAAAATACCGGTACTGAGAAAATGTAAAAATTCTATAATTTTCTACAGGAAGCGGGGAAAATATCTTTAAAATCTAAGAAAAAAAAACAGATTTCTAAAAAGAATCACGAGAAAAGAGATTCACGCTTCCAGCAACAATAAAATGATTAAAATCCGCGCGTAACTTGGAAAACCCTCGTACTGTTCCAAAATTTCATTGCAACACCGTTTTTAATTTTATATCGTCCAGTGTACCCCAAAAAGAATGCCGAGTTGAGAAAAAAGTGCTGGGATTATATACACAAAAAATGTACAGGCAATCGGAGACTACTCTCTGAAGGAGGTAGTTAACGGAGAGGATGAAGAGCATGTGAAGGGTTAAAGAATCTTCCGTGTCTGCCTCTTCGTATTTAGAAGTTCTTTAGAACTTGAGTTTGAGACCGCACGTTGATGTCATGCACGAAATACTGTACTGTACAGTAGTCAAAATCGCTTGCAGACGAAAAAATAAACAAAAAACAATAAAAGCTCCGTACCTCAAGCGGATATATCAGAGACTGCGAGAAGGCACCGGCGCAAGAGCCGGCGATGAACCTCTCGCTAACTCGAACTTCCCCGGGATTGTCGCCGGATCGGATCATACGCTTGACCTGCTCGTATCCCATGAATTTGAAAGCAGATTCCGGGGCAATTTTCAAAATATTGACTCCGTTGCCTCGCCACAGGCTCCGAAACCCTCCTTCGGAAATCATGTGGCTCAGGCAACCCTTCAAGCCGCCGAAACGCTTCAATCCATGAACCTAAATTTGAATAATAGCGAATAAATTAAAACCTAAATATTATGAGAAATAGACGTGCGCATGCACAATATTAGCTAAATATTGTAAAAATGCATTTCGCAGCCTCCTAACATCACAAAGTTCAACCCTAGTCTCGATATTTTCTCGATAAGACATCGCCTGAAAAATGTTCAACGGGAAAAAAATTTCACGCATTTTTCACTGTATGAGTAAAAATAATAATTTTATGAGTAAAATAATCATAATATAATTGTCGAAAAAATGTAAACATTACTTCTTTACCTCACAGAAAGACATTCCGTATTTCTTTCAACACGAAGCATGGTAAGTTTCTAGAACAGATGAACAAGATACGAATGAACATGAGCTGAAAGACGCAGTTCGATGAAATTTCAAATACAGAATTAGCTTAAAATACCACAAAAAAGATCATGATTAACTCTAAACATTTTTAAGGTTTCACATTACATCCGCGTGTGTTCACGATTTTTTAAACATTCCCGTATTCGTTACAGTTACTGGTATCACTTGAAATAGAAGCAATTTGAGAAGCAGCATGCACTTTCACAACTCCTCATGTGTTCATCAAACTCAATTCCACCAAAATAAACTTGAATAGATTTAATCAAAATTATATCAATTCAAATTTATAAAATTCTAGAATGCAGGTAATATCGACAACAACAAAAAACTCGTAATGGTTGAATTTCAAATCAAACATTGTTTGAATTCTACCTAACCTTCGCCCATTCAAATGAAATTTTCTTAAGAGCAAAAAAATAAAATAAAATGTGAAGTTCACCTGAAGGAAAACTTTTATGCGATCCAATGGCGCAGTGGACGTCCTCGAGACGGCACCTGCGATACCTCCAGCAACCAGATGCCTCCACCACAAACCGGACTTCAGTTCGTTTTCAGTGAAGTCCTCCGGTATGCCAAGATCATCTCCCATGTCCAAGACCTGAAATCGAGGTAACACGAGTCATTAGAAATGTGAGAAAAAATAACATGATGATTGAAGAAGAGAGGAAACGAGAGTTTCTTTCAGCTTCGTAAGAGCTTCCTTTTTCTTGGCATGAATGAAAATGGACTTCATTCTTTACGCAGTGACACTGATATTCGCTGATTTCCTGGCCATCGACTTTTAAATGTGTTCCCAACCACGGTGGAAAATTGCAAGAGAACCAAATACTTGCGAGAAAATAAAATTATTCTCATGTCATGCCACTCTCATATCCCAAGAAATGCAATGCAGTCAATATCGACAAATATTTCAAAATACAGGTGAACCTTGATGAGTCAAACCTCCCAAAGTCAAATTTTTTTTCAAGTCCCTGTCTGAATTCCCTTAGAAGCAATACATTAAAAACCTCCCTAACTTGAATTTTTTTTCTGTAAAATCTCTGTAAGTCAAATTTTCTGAGGCCTTCTGGTTATTATTTCTTTGAAATATGAAAGAGAAAATGATTTTGAAAAAAAGTGATGCATCTAGAAAGGAATTGAAAGACAAAAATAGCAAATGAACCCCTGCCTCCAATTTCAGGAAGGTGTAAACTCATTAAGGAGCTAGTTTTGGCCCAGAATATTCTCATTTATGATTTCCCACGCTTTTTTCACTTCGCCTCACAACAAAAGTGTTTTTTTTCCCCCCAACTGGAAACATCCAAAAATCAAAACCTCCTTAAGTCAAATTTTTTTCCTCGTCCCTAGAAATTCGACTTATAGAGGTTCAACTGTACTTTCGACTTTTCTCAGATTTGACAGCCATTTTACGACGAATAAAGCATTTTTCTTGTAGCCTGAAGACTGAATGAAATTTACCCTGAAATGTCCTTAAACGGTAAGCCAAAAGTCAGGACTCCAATTTAAGAAAACCCACGACGCTCGCTTAAATCAATAATTTTTTTATCGATTCGAAAGTGGTTCGGATTATCATACTAGACTTCAAACGATTCTGGTTCGTAAAAATCGGCGCAAAAAGGACTGAAGTATCGAGGTACAGTACAGTATTGACAAAACTTTAGCATCTATGCGTCGCACTTATAATTTCGTGCTGTAAACTTACCGGTCGATGGGACCAGTAAGCCAAAATGGATTTTATGTCATCCTTGGGATGGAAAAGCAGGAACTTCCGCCACTCAGCAAAGCTTATATCGTTGCTTCCGTCACTGTCCACCCTTTGAACAAAGAATAATTTATTCATCGCTTTTATTGCTTCCGCTGCCGAAAATTGAATTAAACATTGGTCTGAATAAGTAAATGTGATGACGGTATTTTTTTAAATCTTCTGAATTACTAGAAAAGCCCCGCGAGGAAATTTAAACAATATTCAAGTGAACCATTCCCCATCATATCTTCACAAGTTCATGCACTTCGGGATTTTTCTTGATTATTGTCACAAGGTTTCTAAAAATTGATGAAGTCCGATGTTGATATATTTCACTCGAGTCCAATACTTTCTTATTTCAACTTTCGCATGAATTTTTTATTCGGAAAACAACTTTCAAATATGAATGCGTTTGAAATGGGTCGGTCTCCCAAAGCTCTCTTTTCTTTTCGAATTTCGGTATCCAAAAATTGGGACAGATCGTTTCTTTCATCATTCAGGAAAAAAATACTACATACAATTCTTTTTTCTAGCACACCCCGTCAAGATACACAGGAATTGAGAGAAATGCTTCAAGGTTTTTTTCTCGAAGAATTTCTTTCAACCGTCTCAGCTAATCAATCAGAACTTTTCAAAATACAGTCAACCGACTCAAACCTCGATTTAGCGCCACAAAGAATTATTTTCCTGATTTAAAAAAAGGTCAAAATCACAGAAATGAAGGCAGATTTCTAGGCATATCATTGGGCTACTAGTGAGGATCACATGCCCTTACTCCGGATAATTTAGAACAAATTATATTTCTGAATTCACATGCAATGGGGTGACTTAATTTGAATGCCCTCTACAGCCTAGGGCATCTAAATAACTGGGATAGCCTCTTCAAAAAATTGAAAATTATTCCACCCAGTCTTGGAATTGTGTGCTTTCATTGAAAGGTCAATAAATAACTGCAAGGAACAGTTCCCCTCTTTTACTTCGCTTAATATGTGCAAAAATCAGATGTATTCTGTACCATAACATAAATGTAAATGCAGTAAAACCAGTACATTTGAACCTCAAATTATTCTGTGTGGCTTTCTCTTTAAAAAAAAAACAAATCAATGTCCCAACGATTCTGTAAATATGCCTGTTTTACCCATAGTAGAAGAAGCATTCAAATGAATTGTTTTCTGATACAGTACCCTAAATATATCCGTCACAGAAATACTCACTTCGAACATAAAATAATTTAAAATGCGGGGTTCGACGGTGAAATACCGGAGCTGTGACAATGAGCTTGTAGATGAGTAAGAGAAAATTGCCAGCATTTCCCCGGATTTTTTGAAGAAAAAAAAAAACATGCGACATATGCAGCACACCTGGACATCAAATCACTCGCTTCGCCTTCAGCCAACGACATGCCGGATGCTTCGAATCCACCTCGAATTTCCACCAAATCAATTCTGCCTTCACGGGATGAAGATAAAGAGAGGAAAAAAATACCGTAATGTTTCAGATACACGACAGAAAGTATAAATGAAAAAGAAACAAAAATACACGTATAATTCAGGAAAATCTGGAAGCAAAGACGCTCACCATCGTGGTTGGTATCCAGGGTGTCGAAAGCCTTTTTCAATTGTTGCTCATGTTTCGTCATGTATTGCACAAACTCTTCCCTGTCCACGTCTCCTGAGGCATCTTTGTCACCCAGGTTCACAAGAACCTTCACAGAAAATGATAAATCAGAGCAACTCCGTAGACTACAGTATGTGCAAGCATGGCAAAACCAGAATATACGAGAACCCGGTACTAAGCCCCTGTCATGAATTTACAGTACAGAACTTTGATTACTCGGAATAACGACGACGGGTTGCCTTTTAAGGATATTGTGCAAAAAATTACGAATGATCAAATTTCATAAAAAGTACTGTTCTGTATCACTGTATTTAATGATCTGACATTCTAGCGTATTTGCCAAAAGTCCTGTGAATTTCCCAAAAGCATCAGCATAAAGAAAACCTCTATCGAAGAAAATCGAATATACCGGAAAGCTTACGAAACATCTCTGTGAAAAGTTGAATTTTATCATCGACGAATAAAAGTGAAGGAAGTTTCACAAAACGCATCCCTTTCTCTCTGCGAGTACAAATTTAGGCATGCTTGAAGTCCAATAAGTGGTCAGAGTTTTAGGGTTTCATTGGGTTCTTCCGGAGAATGTTCGCAAGCCGCAATCCGGGACTTATTCAAACATTTCATGATCAGCAAAGAAATCCTGAAATTTACTTTCCGTTTAATCTTCACCAGTATTTTCACGGAAATGTCAAGCTGTACGAAATTCCAATTAAAATATCGTAGCTTTCATTATAATGCAAGGGAACTCACCGAGGCCTCGGATTCATCCACGGGAAGGCCGATGTTTCGAGAACCCTTCTGAATATCTTCGATATTGATCTTCCCGGAATTCCGGAAATCCAGCTTTTTGAAGAGCGAATCGTAGCTCCATGATTTGCTGTTGCTTCCCGAAGCGTCAGCAGTTTTATTTGAATCGCCCGTCATTTTAAGGCATCGAATCACTCGCCACACATTCACAAAATACAACCGACCCTTGCAAAGGAAAACTTCTGTAATACATTGAGGAACACAGTTTTTGACAAGGCCATAAAAAGTTGGCAAAAACGGTGTGAAAAAAAAAACGGAATCGAAAAACACACGGAGAGAAATGGATGATAAGCAATGCGTTGATATTCGACATTCGAATACTGTATGACCTAAGACAGTCTCTAGGACTTTAATTACATTTCATTTATCAAAATAAAATTAATTTTTGATGCTGTAAGCCATTTGAACACATGGAATTTGTCATTGAATCCCCGAGAAGCTTTCAAATTTTAAAATAACCCTCAGTCTCGGAAGACACAATTTTCCTCAAGAAAATATTTGTACCTCGGCATATTTCTCGTCTAAAATTCGCCAAAATCTTAATCCGATGTTAGCATCTGAAGTAAAAAAAAATATCCGAAAGAAACAAGTGGCTGCAATTTCCCGAAATCTCTTGAAGCTTTTAATGTACAGTTCATTATTTTTAGCAGATCCTTATTCCAACCCCTGGGGTGAATTGCAGCATCCCGTCCGCAGTCCTGCCAACATGAATTAATTCTCGCTGTTCAATCTTTAGAATTCATGATCACATGCAGTATTTCAATCTGAAGATACAAAAATTTAATTCGTTGAAATTTGGCCGGACCCATTAGTCTCCTTTTTTGATGCAGCGAAGTGACTTTTGCGAAAGTATTCCGGCAATGGAACCGTAGAATTCAGAAGTTCGACACCTTCATCTCTTGATTATAAACATTACATGGAAAAGACGTGAAATGCAGCATCCTACGTCTTCAACAGATTTCAGTGGCTTCATATAAAAAATAATTTTCGCACTGCAAAATTTCCCTAAATCCTTTCGTCGCCCTTTCCATTTTCTTTCTTACCCATCGAAATTACTTCAAAATTTTGTGAACAGCAACGGAAGGCACACTTTTAGAACCATTCCCAACATTTAAGATCAAGCAAAAAACGATACTGCAGACAATTTCAGAAACCAACAAGAAGTACCTATATCATCACATAAGTTATGAGGTACTGGACTCACGGCTACAGTACAATTCATCATATTTATGAAAAAACAATACATTTTGGCATCGTAATTTTTTACTACATCGCAGCACCAGCAGTTTAATGAGCTGAAGTCACTCAATATTCTTGTTTAAATTCCTTATTCCACACTGCAGACACGCGAACGACGAAGAACATGAATAATTCGGAAGACATTTCCTACGGTGAGTACAAATGAAAATGCATTTATTTTGGTTTATCACTTCGTATCACAAAGAATACGAATAAAAAAATCGATAAAAAAACTAATTACGACTTAGTTTCTGAATAAGCAAAACCGCGCGACAGAATATGTGGTAGAGTTTTCGTTGGTGATGCTTTGTTGGCTCCGAGTCTCTCGATGGATAAAATTGCTGGGGCGTAACGCCTAACATTCTCATCCGACGCTTCATTCCACGTTCTTCGTATTTTCTTCCACCTCTGAATGTTGTGCTTCATCAAATCGCCCGCGGGCACATCCGCGACTATGCCATTAACCTGAAGAAAAATATATATACAAGAGAGTTGTTTCATATCCCATGCTGAGTAAAAGATTACTTCTAAATGTCATCAGAGGAAACAGAGCTCTCTTGTTGAAAACGAACAAAATGTTGATTTTCTTTGATCGTCACGTCAAGATTGCAAAAATACGAATAAAAAACAAAAAAGGTTCGATTCTTGACGCTTTGACACCCAACTCGTTTTTATTTTCGAAATATTGAGCAGGTGTTTCGACAACCGTACTACAGTAAATCCTAATTAGCTCCAAATAAAATCCTCACACTCGCACGATGTAACATGAACTTGGCGTACGCTGCTCGTTCAACTCGAATACAACCGAACTTGAAAGGTCTCAGGCGAAACCTAAGCAACAGTAAGTTAAACCATGCAGAGACTCACGCCTTTCTCTGCAGGAATGTCATTTTTTGCGAAAGTTGTGAAAAATAGTCAACTACAACATGAGCAAAAGCCCGTCTTTCTCTCTAAAAAAAGGAACTTGGCTCTTTGCATTTTACAATGAAACGCCGACAACTCAGATTTTTATGGCATGATGTACGTTTAGATAAAATTTCTAAATTTCATCAGGTTAAAAAAAGAATCCAATTTCACGTCCATTGACTTCCCGTCAGTTCTAATTAGGTGAGATCGACCGACCACGCTAGGTTAGTGAATCAGGCGAAACATGTTTGGATTGCCAAAAGAAAAGCAGGAATTGCAGTTATACCCCAATCGTATCACAGAAATAATTCGGAGA